GCGAGCATGTTTGGTGGGGCGGGGATTCGAAACCGCGACCCGCAGATTGCGAGTCGAGCTCCCTAACCACCTGGCCATGCCGGGCCTTAGAAATGATACAAGGTTTTTAAAAAACTGTCACAGAAGGTATATGCTTTCTGTTATTCTCAGTCAACAAATCAACTCTATCCCTAAACGAAGCCACTACAGTCAACATCTTTCCCTGAAAGTAACCACTGATCCTTGCGGTATGATATTGGTATTTTGTACCAATCCCGATATAACATGACTTTTAATGTGCTTCCGCCGAAATTTTTCCCCAGGACATTTAGTTTGTAAAATATAATCAATGTAAATACTGGATTTTCTTTATAATAACACTGCACGTTTTTTTATTATAATATTAAAAATATGGTTCATTTTTAACACACACACATATATATAAAACTTCAGATACCTGATGTTATTTTTCCCACTTCTGATGAATATACATGAATGATAAAACAGTAAGAATCTTAAAGAAACTGATTTTCACACACGCTGTGTATTCTGGAGCAATGATGAAGCACATTTCATTTAGATTTTTATGTACTAGAAAGGAGTGAATGTCAAAACTTAAATCCAGGCCGATAAAGCAGTAAAGAAAGAAAGTGATAGAGAGATATTGCCAATTACAAAATCAAATATACAAGCAAACAAACATATATGTTCTTTTTTTTTCATGGACTTCAGGAAGTTATAGGACTCGTATATACGTTATTACTACTTATTTTAAGGGAACTTTTGTTACAAGTGTACCTTAAATAAATATTCTTAACTAGTTTGGAAGGGATCAAACAAGCTATCCAGTTTGGCTGAGAAGTGGATTTTACAGCTGTGAAATCGCACCTTCAATATGAGTAAAACTAATAAAACTTCAGTAGAATTACTTTGGTAAATGTCTGAATAATCTATACAATGAGCCACGCACGTCATGTATAAAACAATAAATGGTAAACATTTTATTCTGGTTGATTTTCACAGCACATAATAACACGACTCTACATCTATACAAAGTGTAAAATTTGATATTAAAGTTTGTTTGTTGTTGCTAAGTGCAAAGTTACACAATGGGTTATCTATATTCTGCCCACCGCAGGTATCGAACCCCGATATTAGTGTTATAAATCCTCACATTTAATGCCTAGCCATAGGGGAAGGGACTGTTATTAATGTAATCTAAAAGAAACGTTAAAGTTTAATAAATATGTCTATTAGCTAGAAAAAAAGGCTTACGACTAAAACATTATGAAAGTGTTACTTTTTCAGATGTAAATGAACAGACAATTTCGAACTAGCGCACTAGAGGAAGCAATGGTTTAAGTTAAAATGAAGGAAGACTTACATGGTTAACATGATAATTACCAGATGATGGTAAATAAAGAATCGTTAAGAGGTAACAAATCTGATAACTTGTGAAGTCTAATCTTTCTTAATATATTTTCTGTTGTGGCTGCAAATATAAATAAAAATGACACCGTGAAATAGAAACATACATATCGGTACACAAACTTTCAGAGATTCTAACATATCACTATGAAATAGAAACATAGATATCGGAACACAAACTTTCAGAGATTCTATGTTAACCAGAGGAAGCTATAGATATGCTATATTTATCATTAGTGTAAATATATTGGGTCTTTATTCATAAAAAATTAATAATCATTTTAAGTGTTAAATTCCTGTTGTTATGAATGATTCAAATATTCATACATAAGTTGTATAAAAAGGTCTCTTACTCAAATGTTGTAATATTTCTTTCAGAGATTCTAACATATAAATAGAAACATACATATCGGTACACAAACTTTCAGAGATTCTAACATATCACTATGAAATAGAAACATACATATCGGTACACAAACCATACTGATACGTTAGAATCTCTGAAAGTTTGTGTACCGATATCTATGTTTCTATTTCATAGTGATATGTTAGAATCTCTGAAAGTTTGTGTACCGATATCTATGTTTCTATTTCATACTGATACGTTAGAATCTCTGAAAGTTTGTGTACCGATATGTATGTTTCTATTTCATACTGATACGTTAGAATATCTGAAAGTTTGTGTACCGATATGTATGTTTTTATTTCGTAGTGGTACGTTAGAATATCTGAAAGTTTGTTTACCGATATGTATGTTTCTATTTAATAGTGATATGTTAAAAGCTGTACCATTTAGTATCACTTGACTTTAAAAAATATCTATATGACAGTCAACAAAAATCTTACTGCTCTCGTAACTTGACCAAAAAAAGACATGTACATGCTAGTGAACAGAAAACTTCCTGGTGCTGATTTTAGTAGAACACAACTGAGGTCTTGTAACTACCATAGCATGCTACAAATCTTTGTAAGTTGTAGTTGTTAATTTCTTTCTCGAAACATGAATTTCAGGGAAGAAAAGATAATGTAGAAGCCTAATCTGTTACTTGATTCGCTACTGAAATCCTCGTATTGGTGAAGAAATGAACAACTAAATAACTAACAAAGTCCGCTGAGTAATAATGGACGATTGATTGTAACGCTATGTCACGTGTTATATAAACACCTAAATTATTTCACGTTATTAGCGGTGAGTGAAGGAATATAGATCCAATATTTTAGCTTAATTAATTTTTGTAAATTGAAATGCGAATTTGAAAATGTGATTTTAAATATTAAATTATAATCTGAACGTCAGATGTGTGGTGTTATGGAACATAGATATGAACGAGTTAACTGGTAGCCAGACATAAAGCATTTGATGAGAACCGTTTTTTATTACGTTGTTGTAGTGTTGTGTTCTTTTTTCTGACGGGTTCTTTTAAATTTACCTGGTGTAAATAATTCAACATCTAGTCCATGTAACGATTATAAGCCGCCATTAAACAAACGACAACAATAAAGAAATGTGGGGTCCATCGTTCTGTGTCTGTCCATACTTAGAATACTTACCGTCAAAACTTGGGAACAGAACCGGTATTAAACATCGTGTTACGAGAGCCTTCAATACTTATTTGAACTCTAGTTATTTTAAGGTTATTAGTATGTCTACAAATGACCACCAACTCACAATAATAGAAAGTTTGTCTTATTAAACCAACGATATTAATCTTCTCCATTCTTGCTATAACTGTAATGAGAATATTTGAAGTATCGAAACCCAATTTTTAGCGTTATAAGCCCACAGACTTACCGCCAAGCCACTGGGGGTGGAGCTAAGTTTACCGTATGTTTGGTTTTCTTTGTATACATCTGCTGGTCAGCTGATGAATTTTATTCGCTTAAAATGAAAGTATTAAACAAGTTGTTTTATTATTTATTACACATACATATATATATATATATATATA